AAAACAAAGAATAAAATCACATGATCATCTCAATAGATGCAGAAAAACTATTTGACAAAATTCAACATCCATTCATGATAAAAATTCTCATCAAAGTTTATATAGAGGGAACATATCTCAACATAATAAAGCCCATTTATGACCAACCCACAGCCAACATCATACTCAATGGTGAAAAGCTGAAAGCTTTTCCTCTAAAATCAGAAACAAGACAAGGAGGTCCACTCTCACCACTTCTATTTATTATAATGTTGGAAGTCCTAGCCACAGCACCCAGACAAGAAAGATAAAAGGCATCCAAATTGGAGGGAAGAAGTAAAATTGTCACTGCTTGCAGATGACATGGTATTATATACAGAAAACCCTGAAGACTCCACCAAAAAACTATTAGAACTAATAATAAATTAGATAAAGTTGCAGGATATAAGATTAATATGCAGAATAATATCTGTTACTTTTCTATACACTAATAATGAATTATCAGAAAGAAAAAGCAAGAAAACAATCCTACTTAAAATCACATCAAAAGAACAAAATATCTAGGAATAAACTTAACCAAGGAGCTGAAAGGCCAATGCCTGAAAACTATAAAACATTAATGAAGGATATTGAAGGTGAGACAAAGAAATTGAAAGCTATCCTGTGTTCATGGATTGGAAGAAATAATATTGTTAAAATGTTACCTAGCACATAGTAGGTCCAGTTTCCTCTCCAATATATACTTCCTTGCCCACACCTCTTTCACTGGAGTTTGATTAGGTATACTAAGAGACAAACACAGAAGTCAGCCAAAGGTCTTTTAATAAAACTGAGGAATCTGCTAAGGTCAAGCTCAGGGCAGGGTTATCTTCATTTCTGTGTCCTCGGGCTTCAAGTACGAATTGGCTTTGGTGATACATTTGGCAGGAACTTGGGCTTCACACAGCACAGTTTACCACTCATGCAGAAAACATAGACTTTTTCATTCTTGGAACATTTCTCACGACAGGAGCCATGAAGATTCCAGCATTTTTCAGTGCTGCCTAATACAAAGAGAAAAAAAAAAAAAAGAAGGGAGTCGGCATCAGTTCTATGGGGAAATAAGTCCTGGCTTGAGAGGACCAACAGCCAAGCAAAAAAAAAAAAAATACACTGTTGAAACTGGGAGAGTCATCTCTAGATTTATAGAACAGTATATGATATAGTCTCACATCCTTTCTGGACACCTCATCCTAATCCCAGCCCTTCTTGAATGTTCTTTCTCACAAGTTCAGTGGGTTATGATGGTTAGGAACATAGACTGTTGGAACTCATAGAGCTGGATTTGAAATCTATCTACACCAGAAGCCAAATGGAAGACCTCTAGCAGATTACTTCCCTTCTCAGATCATCAATTTTCTCTTTCCTAAAAAGAAGATACAGCACTTGCTTCAGAGACTTCTTGTTGGGATTAAATGAAATATTGTTTAAAAATCATAGGCATTAAATAAATTCAGATATGACATGACAGGTCCTCAGAATTATAAACTTTAAAAAATCATTTCATAAGTAAAGATTAAACTAGAAGGAAGACACGATCAAATAAATGCAACAGATAATGGCTTAAAAGAAATATACAGAGTGATAAAGATAATGTTTTAATCAAAAAGAAAGAGAGAAAAAGGAATCAATAGAAAGTTACAAATATTCATGACAGGTAAAAGAAATCCAACACACAAATAATAGGAACTATAAAAGATGAAAACAAAAGCAAGGGAACAGAACAAATACTACAAAGTATGTTCAATAAATTTTCCTAAAATAGAAAAAGATTTGAAACATGTATGGCAAGAGTATACAACATATCTGAAAATATTCATCCAAGACAAGACATATTCTAGTAAAATTAGTGGACATCAAAGAGAAAAAATGCTTTGGGCATTTAGGTCCAAAAAAATACAAGGTGATATAAAGGAAAGAAAATTAAACCATACTTAGATTTTTTTGAAGTACAGTTGATTTACAATGTTTCACATGTACAGCAAAATGATTCAGGTAGACAGGTAGATGATAGATAGATAGATAGATAGATAGATAGATAGATAGATAGATAGACAGACACAGATATTCTTTTTTAGATTCTTTTCCATTATAAGTTATTACAAGATATTGAATGTAGTTCCCTGTGCTATACAGTAAATAGGTCCTTGTTAATTATACTTAGACTTTTTGATAACAATGTTTTATGTCAGGAAATAAATGGTATCACATATTTAAGATACTCAAGGAAAGAAAAAGTAAGCAAACAATGTTACATCCAGCAAAACTGACTTCCCCCCCAAAAAAAAAAAGGACAAAACCAAACTGGTATCCACATACTGAAACGTAAGAAATACTGTTCCCATGAGCCTCCTTAAGAGTCTAATAGGAAAAGAGCTTTAGACAACAAAATTAGAGGGGCATTGACACAGGACTAATAATGAATATTATTTACAGAATTATAATTAAGCCAGGTTTAAAAGGAGGCAGCAGAGAATGTAATGGCTATATTTTCTGAAATAGAGATATAGTACAATGAAAAATGGGAGAATGTTTAAAGCATATGCAGAAATTTTAACTAGTTTGAGTAATCACGTTGTTTTGGTGGTATTGGTATTATTTTACTAAAACTATTGCGTATGTGATGAGGGAGAAATCAAATGAGTAATTATGGGATATTCTAATTCTCTCATCTGATGAACCTAAAAACATTCTGTCATACCAGGAGCTAAACTGAAGAGATTCCCATTGGTCAAGAATAGGAAAATTTGTGCTTCAGTGGGGATTATTTCAACAGATTGGACTTGTGGCTTAGAATCATGAGTTCAAGATAATACTTGAGAAAAGCTAATTGCCCAGCCTCAGAGGCTGCCAGAAAATGAATTCATTGTCTCGCAAACTGATAAGCAAAGATAGAGTCCAGCATTTGCCCTGCCCCTCCTCTCTGAACCCTCTAAACCCCAAGGTAACCAAATAGTAGATGAAGAGAAGCATATCTTTTATAAGTAGTTCAGCCAATAAATGAATGTTCTTCCCAACATACCTGCACAGCTACCCCTTCACTTTTTTCCAGCCTTTGTTCAAATGTCAGCTTTTCAGTGAGGAATTCCCTTTACATCTTTTTTTAAATTGCACATCCACATCCCCCTAATGCTTGTTAGCCCCTTCCCTGCTTACTCTACTCATTGCCTCCTCCCAGAGAGTGTAAGTTCCAAGAGGACAGAGGTCTTGGTTGGTTGTTTGGTTGGTTATTTTGTTGATTGGTTGGTTGGACAGCCCTCTATCTCAGGCACCTATCACAAGACCTGACACACGGAATACACTCAACAACGTTTATTGAAAAAATGAATTATTTAACTAAGTAATGACATATCCACAAGCCCCTAAATCCAGCTGCCATCATGGGAAGGAGAAGGGGAGAGGATGAAAGGAGAAACACTGAAAGACCAAACAATTGCTCAAGGCAGAATGAATCAATCTATTTTAAACCAGAAAAGGTGGATACAATTATTTCCTGAGTTTATGTGCACTCCCTCTGTCCCTTCCAGCCTCTGACGTTCTTACCAGTAGGATGAAATTCCCTGGGAAAGCTCCAATGAGTTACAAAAAGTAGAGAAGCTACATTTGTTGTACACTAACATTTCAGTGTAGTCAATGTTGACCCCTCAACCTAAGATATTATTTCAAAATGAAAAGTGAGTAAATTGGAACTCAGAGCAGCCAAGCGGCTTGCTGGGGTTCACAGAGCTATTATGTGATGGAGTATGTTCTCACCCAGGATTGAGAGGTTCTTCCCTCCTCCCCACCTGAATGGTGTTTCATGTATGTGTCTACCATGAGCTGACACAAGGTATGAGTCCAGAGTATTCTCAATCCCCACCCCCACGTCCCGACCCCTTGGAAAGGTTAGAGAGATGTCTAGAGGGTGGAGGGGGTGGAAGTTTCTGTCAGGTGAGAAGGAAGGGATGGTGCTAGCACCTGGGTCTGGGCAAATTTGATGAAGGCCCTTCTCCCCTTAAAAATTTCCATGGCTCCAGCATAGGGGTTGACAGAGATCGGCAGCACTCGTTCTGAGATTCTGTCTCACTTAAGACAGGTGTGAATAGTGCAAAATCCAAGTGATTTCAGGGACATTGTGAGAAAAGCTCACTATTGCCTCCCTTCTTTCCTGCTTCCCCTTCCCTCCCCATACTCCTCCTCACACACCACACCTCCTGCCCTTGACCCCTACAGCTGACAAAAGAAATGAAGTCTGGGGGCACTGAGGGAAAGTCTGGAGGTTACACCTGCTGCCTAAGATTTGGCACCTGCTATTGGCGAAGATGAATGTTTGGCAGTTCCCCTCTTATGGGGGTTTAAAAAAACAACAACGTTACATTTGCTGCACGCCAAAATTTCAGTGTGTTTAATGTTGATCTCTCAACTTGATTTATTATTTAAAATTGATAAATCAATCAACTGAAATTCAGAGGAGCCAAGTAGTTTGCTAGGAAGGCTACAGAGCTAGTAAACGGTGGGACAGGGTCTAACCCAGGATTTGGGGGCTTATATCTCTTGCTCACATGGTGTTGCACATTGCCGCCTGCCAGGCTATCCTCCCAACCCCTGGAGAGCCCCCAACCAAGATCCACTCTCCATCCCTCCAATGCTCCCCTGCAAAGGTCTAGGTTACCTGGAATGACCTGGGACAAGAGCACCAGCGCAGCCAAAGTTAGCAAGAACGGCTTCATGACTTCAGGTAGCCCAAGGACTCTCAGCTCTGGCGAGGTGATAAGCAAATGAAGAAGAGCTCTGGACTCTCTCCTCCCTCTTATCAACTGGGACACATGTCACTTAGATGTGCTCTCAGCTGCCCACGGGTACAGTGGGCCCTGGAACAGCCTGCCTCCCTCAGGCTTCTCAGTTACTATCCCGATGTCCCTACATCCACAGTTGGAGCACGCATCCCTGAACCGATAAGCCTCCCTTTAGCTCCCTCCACCTTTTAGGAAACAGTGGAGAGAAACCATACAAGCTAGAGGGATTTTTTTTAAATAGATGCCCTTGTCATAACTCAATCTAAAACCCTCCAAGACTCCACATTCCACACTAAAAAACCATATGGCCTTTACTATGTCCTATAAAGCCCTGCATCATCTGTTCTAGAGATTCACTCTTACCGTGGTTTTAATGTAAGCTGAGCAAACTCCTTTCTTCAAATGTAATTTTCCAATCTGGAAGTGGAGGAGTAGAAAAGGGAAAATATTCATTCAGACCTTGGAAAGAGCCTGTCTAATTATTATTATTACTTTGAGACAAATGAAAACAAAAACACAACTTTCCAAAATCTCTGGGAAGCAGCAAAAGCACTTCTAAGAGGGAAGTTTATTTGTATTGATACTAACCTACCTCAAGAAATAAGAAAAATAACAAATAAAAAACCTAACCTACAATCTAAAGGAAGTAGGAAAAGAAGAACAAAGCCCAAATCAGCAGACATAAAGAAATAATATAGATCAGAGATATAAACAGAGACAAAAAATGATAGACAAGATCAATGAAATCAAGAGGTTTTTTTTTTTAAGCAAGAAGCAAAATTGGTAAGCATTAGCTAGGCTCAGTAAGGAAAAAAAGAAAAGAAAAAAAAAGAGAGGACTCAAATAAACAAAGTAAGAAATGAAAGAGGGGAAATAACAACCAATATCACAGAGATACAAAAAATCATAAGAGAACACTACAAACAGTTATACGGCAACAAACTGGACAACCTAGAAGAAACAGACAAATTTACAGAAAGAGAAAACTTACCAAGACTGAGTCAAGAATAGATAATTTGAACAGACTGATGACTAGTAATGAATTTGAATTCATGATAAAAATATTCTTAGCAAACGAAAGTCCAGGACTTGACAACTTCACAAGGAAATTCTACCAAACATATAAAGAAGAGCTAATGCAAATGAGAACTACAATGAGGTATCACCTCACACCAGTCAAAATGACCATCATTAAAAAGTCCACAAATAATAAATGCTGGAGAGGGATGAAGAAAAGGGAATCCACCTACATTGTTGAAGGGAATGTAGTTTGGTGCAGCCACTATGGAAAATAGCATGGAAATTCCTTAAAGAACTAAAGATAGATTTACCATATGATTCAGCCATCCCACTCCTGGGCATATATCTAAAGAAAACTCTAATTCAAAAATATACATGCACCCTAATGTCATAGCAACGCTATTTACAATAGCAAAGACATGGAAGCAACCTAAATGTCCATCGACAGATGATTGAATAAAGAAGTTGTGGTATATATACATATATACAATGGAATACTACTCGGCCATAAAAAATAATGAAATAATGCCATTTGCAACAACATGGAAGGACTAGAGATGACCATATTAAGTGAAGTTAGGTCAGACAGAGAAAGACAAGTATTATATGGTAGCACTTATATGTGAAATCTTAAAAAATGATACAAATGAACTTATTTGCAAAACAGAAACAGACTCACAGATGTAGTAAACAAACTTACAGTTACCAAAGGGGAAAAGGAGGGAGGAAGGATAAATTAGAAGTCTGGGATTAGCAGATACAAACTACTATATATAAAACAGATAAGCAACAAGGTTACTACATTCAATATCTTGTATAATGTTCTATATAATATTCTATAATGAAAAAAATATATATATATATGTATAACTGATACACTATGCTGTACACCAGAAACTAACACATTATTGGTCAACTATGCTTTAATAAAAAAAAAACAGAGCTAATACCTATCCTTCTCAAACTATTCCCAAAAAAATCAAAGAGGAGGGCGCACCCCAAATTCATTCCATGAGGTCACCATTACCCTGATACCAAAAATAAACAAAGACACAACAAAAGAAGAAAATTACAGGTCAATATCTTTGATCACTATAGATGCAAAAATTCTCAACCAATATTAGCAAAATGAGTTCAACAATACGTAAAAAGGATCATCCACATGATCAAGGGGGGTTTATTCCGGGGATGCAAGAATGGTTCAAAACTCACAAATCAATTAGTATGATATTCCACACTTGCAAAAGGAAGGATAAAAGTCACATGATAATCTCAATAAATGCAGAAAGAGTATCTGAAAAAGTTTAACATCAGTTCATGAGAAAAATTCTCATCAAAGTTGGTATAGAGGGAACATACCTCAACATAATTAAGGCCATTTATGACAAACCCACAGCTAACATCATACTCAATGGTGAAAAGCTTTTTCTCTAAAATCAGAAACAAGACAAGAAAGCCCACTCTCACCACGTCTATTTATTATAGTGCTGGAGGTCCTAGCCACAGCACTCAGACAAGAAAAAGAGATAAAAAGCATCCAAATTGGAAGGGAAGAAGTAAAATTGTTACTAATTGCAGATGACATGATACTGTATATAGAAAGCTCAAAAGTTTTTATTCTGGCTGTAGGAAACCAGAGTGATTTGTAGCCCTATGTAAATACCAAGGATTGTTCCCTTTTAAATGGCCCAGGATTGGGTGGTTTTCTAATACATACTATGGTAATTATTGAGCTGAAGGCTTGAGGATCCTTCACAGGTGTCTGGAGGGCTCTCTGAGCACCTCTACCCTCTCTAACGTTCTGATCTGCTTTGATCTCACTGGATTCCCCGTTCTGTTCTCTACAACACTGGGAGATGTTGGAGAACGTCTAGAGATGATCATACTAAGTGAAGTAAGTTAGTCAGCGTGTGGTCTATCCTGGAGAACAGTCCATGAGCACTTGAGAAGAATGTGTATTCTGCCATTTTGGAATTGAATGTTCTATAGATTATCTATTATGTCCAGCAGGTCTAATATGTCATTTAAAACTACTGTTTCCTGTTGATTGTCTGTCTGGATAACCTATCCATTGATGTAAGTGGAGCACTAAATTCTCTTACTGTTATTGTATTATTTTCAAGCTCTCCCTTTGTGTCTGCTAATATTTGCTTTATATATTCAGATGTTGCTATATTAGGTGCATATATTTTAATAAATCTTATATCCTCTTCTTGTATTGATGCCTTTATCATTGTATAATGCCCTCCTACCAAGTCCTGGAAGTGAAGTTGCTGGATTGCAGGACATGCATAGTTTAAAGACTTTGGGTATTGGCAAACACCCTCCAAAAGAGGTTGCACCAGCTTGCATTTCCATGATCAAGACCTTACTCTTTCCCTATATCCTACAAATTCTGGAATTATTAATGGAATAGTATTCTTGCCAATTTGGAGAAATGATACCTCACTGCCATTTGAATTCTTTTTTTTTTTTGATTCCTGGTTCAATGGGGAAGTTGGCCCTCCTGACTCACCATGGACAGACTATGATGTCTGAGGTGTGCTCAGAGGTGCACATGTTCCAGAATCTTCCCCAGCTCCCCTGTCCCCTGTAACTAAAACAGCTCATGTGGTTACATCTATTCTGGGGTCTTCAGGAGGATAACAAAACCAGAGCAAAGCACACCTGAAACTAACATTGTCAATCAACTACACTTCAATAAAAAAATAAGAATAAAAAAAATTACCACAAACTTGGTGGCTTAAAAACAAAAAGCAAAATTAGTACACTGACTATGCAAGTAGCCATTCCAGAGGCAGACTGTGATTTTGCAAGAGCCACACAGTGTATTCAGGAATTGGGGTCAAGGGAAAGGACCTCCGACCTGCTTCAAAGACTTGGAGTCAGAAGAAGTCAACCCAGACAACCCTCAGTTGCAAATACAATTACCTTGCCCTGTTTCGATGTTTAAAACATAAACTGCTTCATTCTTTCACTTTTGATGTCATTTCAGCATCTAGAGAACTATATATGATACATTCCCTACTGCCCATCTGCCCCAAATACCTGACTGAAGAGATGGAGGCCCAGAGGAAAAAGTGATTCTCCTAAAATCACACTGAAAGTTAGTCGCAGAGTCAGGACCAGATATGTTCAGCTCTGCCTCTCCCACCCTCAATATCCAAATCCTCTGTATATCCCGGCATTTTAAACAGTAGGGTCTCTTCTCTAAGGGAGGAACGAATCCAACAGATACATTTCTGCCATATTCTCTAGCCACTAGAATGGGAAATCGCATTTTGAAATTTCTTTACAGCTTTGTTGAAGTATGATTGGTATACAAAAAAACTGCATATACTTAATGCATACAATTCGATGAGTTTGAACTTATGCATTTGGTGATGTTTTTGTAGCTAGCCTGGCGGGTACTCATACAGCCCAAGCAAGGATGAAAGTACATTTTGCAGTTCCTTTCCCTGTATGGAATCGAGTTAGGATTTGCCACAAACTAACTTTCTTTTCTTTTCTTTTCTTTTCTTTTCTTTTCTTTTC